CCCAAGTAAGAACTATGGAAAAGTGAAACTTGCCCTCAGTTCCTTTAAAAATACTTTAAAATAAGCAGGTTTTTATGTTACACATGGGCTTCAGCTCTCTCATAATAGAAACAAACTTTCTGTACTTTTGTCTAATGAACAATTGTCCCTTAGTAAAAAATTTGTCAACAAAAGTTGCCACTGCTCCAATTATTGATTTGGACTGATGCAGCCTCTAATGAACAGTGCATAGCTGATTTGCTAAGAAGGCTCTGACACCTGAAATCTCTACTTGGGCAAAGTGGCTGCTGAAAAGTTTTGCTCAGTTTGTCCTGTCTCCAGTGCTTTGTACTGTCTTTCAGGTGCTTGTCCACCTAATCAACAGTACATCAGGTTAAGCATGTGCAGTTAGAGACTTTGTAAGTGGAAATTAATTTCTTTGGGCCATGATCATTGTCAGCTTCCCAGAAGGCAGCTTGATTGATTTTCCTCACACCTACAAATGTGTAAACCATGAACAAAGGAAGGAAAACGCTAGAACTGTCACCATGTTAGTCCTCAGTAAGCCAGGCTGTGAATCTCCAGCACTCACATACTAAGAGTTTAGAGGCACATGGCCAAGCCCTGCCCAGCCACCCCCTGTGAAGTAGGATCAGTTCCATTACATTTAATGATTGCTAAAGGCTTATCTATCTGAATGAACTTGTGAGGCAGATGAGGTAAACTGCATTAAGCCCCATTGTGTTCAGAATTAAAGCAGCCTTAATTTAATTCATCTTACTTTCCTTCCAAAAAGAATGACTCCGAATCAGATTAAGGTTGCTTTTATTCTGCAACAGAATGTCCATGCTGGGCTTTAAAACAGTTTAACAAATCTACTTTAAATGCACACCTTTCATTAATTCGCATTAGCTTTCCTGAAGTCCCCAGTGGAGATAAGGCTTAAGAGACTCCATGCAAGGGAACCTGCATGGGTTTGCTAGTATGCTGTGAACTCACGCCCTGGCTTACTGCATGCTAACTTCCCTGTGAAGGTAAGTACATCCATTTTGTTGTCCTTCTGAAGCTGCCGCACAGAGGATTTGATCTCTTGGCAGTCAGGCAGCAACCTCACAGTTCAGTGATGGAAGGGACTACAGAGCCTTTCATTTCCACTCTCTCTCTTGCTCCTCTGCCTGTTCCCTAGTGCTCTGTAGCTAAGTATGGTAGGACCAGATGGGGAATTCTGGCAGTGATACCAGCCTATGGGATTCCCGCCCACCACCTCTCCATTTCATTCCTGCCTCTGCACTGCAGTGCACTGCTGCCTTGCTCAAGCCAGATAAGTTCCCTCATGCCCTTCACTGTGTGGATGAGGAAAAAGCTGTATTGGGGCAATTAAAAAGCAGAAGAGGCACAGAGCAGTGGCTGGTAAAGGAGGCTTAGGTAGTGACTCTTTATGCTGGAAAAGCTGCCTTGCCTTATCGAACCACAGTCAACTAAGACTGCCATGTCGACTGGTTTCTCTGTCCAGCATAACAAGGTCATGGCTTCTGGGAGGTCACTACCAAATAAATGAAAGTCTCTTGACTCTTTCAGAGATACACTAAATTGGCCATCAGCTCAGTTCCAGTCCTTGTCCACTGACGTGAACAACCCCATAGGACTCATGTATGGCAAAAAGAAACATATGACAAAATGGGGTGAAAAAGAGTAAAAGAAGGGGAGGAAAAAAAAAAAAAAGGAAGAAAGAAGAAAAAAGAAAAGGATGCTAACTGGTAAGAACAGAGTTAAGTGCACCTTCAGACCCACAAAGACATTTCAGCACTCCTGCGTAAAGGGAGTTGTTGTTATCTTCTTGTGTCAAACTTGTCAAAAAGACATGCCTATGCTACATGAGGTTAATTTCTGAACTCCGTATGTATTGAGATCCTTTGCAGTGAGCTACAAATGGACAAAGTGACATTCAGGGTCTCCAAACCACCCCAAGTCCCAGTGATCCATCCTGGTCTCCTAACAGAAGAATCACTGCATGCAGTACTTTTCTCTTTACAGATGCAGAATGATTATCAATCTGTTCATTAAACTAAGATGTCCATGCCCAGCTGTGGAAGAAGTTGTTACCAAAAGGAGGCCTTATCTCCCAGATGCTAATTTCTGATTATCAGTCCCACAGCACTGAATAGATTATTGCTGTTTAGTTTAGTCAGTTGGTTGTTTTATAAGCTGAGTGCAGCATTCAAGTCTGTTTTGACATGAGAAGTCATATCCTAGAATTCAAGTTTGGGAGGATCAGGACCACCAGAATCTAATGGGGAGAGGTGTACAATGGGCAGGGGTGTGAGCAGGGGACAGGAAGAAGCTTTACAACATCTACCTGGAGGATGTAATACCCTGTTTTATCTGATGCTTTGCATTTTTTGCAGGAGTTAAAAGCTCCCTCAATTCTTGATTGCTTTCTTGTCGTTAAGATTCACAGAAGCCACACAGTGAGAAATAAAGTCAAGTCTTTCTGGAAACCTGGTAGGTCAAGCTTGTGCGTAACTGCAGAATTAAGGTTGGTTTTTAACTCTAAGTGCCTTGATTTTTATATATATATATATATGTGTCTGCACACGCATAACCACACATATATATTTATTTATACACATATATACACATGTCAGAAAGATAGGGGAAGAAAGGATCTGTACAGTGTGGAAGGAGAAGTGTTCAACAGTAGTTGGCCACATGCTAAATGAAGAATGAAGATCCTCAACTTTGTCCATTTAAAATATAAAGATAAGTGCCCACATTAGTTCAGATCAAAGGTTATTATCTTCCAGGGCCTAGCAGTCAAGGATGGCATATTGCAGAAGATATCTTCTCCTACAGCAGATTCCTTCACCAGATGATGCTGGAAGTAAAGTAAGTTTAGGGACCAGAAAGAAGAATATGGTTTAAAGGAGCTCTGATGGGATTTAAGATCTGATGGACTGACAAAAGGGGGTGGAAGAGGCAGGTAGGTATTGGAGGGCACTGGAAAGCCTCTCCCAGCTACCTGCTGGGGAATCCAAGGGAAAAAGCACAGCCCTGCAGTCTGGTTGCCTGACTGGGTGATGCCATGGTTCACGTTGATCCATAGTTCCTCCTGCAGCCTGTCCCCAGCTGGGACAGGCTGCCAAAAAGCCATCTCAGGGAAAGTAAGGGCAGATACAATGATGGCAGCTGTGTCTCTATAAACAACCTTGGGGAACTCAAAGTCTTGCATAAACACAACTCTGAATTATTTGGCAGAAGCAAATGCTGGGCCCTGCAGTATCAGACTGGCTGGGGAAAGAAGGTATCCCATGGGCGCTGGTGGTCTCTGCCCACTTCTGCATCCCACTCACTCACACTTGCTCTTTCTTTCTCTATCCTGTTCTGTGCAGTGCCAGGAGGCAGCACAGAACACTCCTGTCCTTGCGTTAGTGCCTTTTAACCCTTTCCTTTGCTATCTCTGACCAGCTCAGTTCCTGGAGGCACTTTCAGCAATTTAGGGGATGTAAGATAAAGGCACTGCGCAACTACCTATATCAATCTGCTGAGTCTCTTCAGTGAGTTTTAGGGGAATACAAAAAAGTCTCAACCAATGACTGCAAAAGAAACCAGCTGCTGCAATTTGGATGCATATAATAGATAAGTTTCATTTACATTCTGAGAATGCACCAAAAAGCATGCATCTGCACCTTTCAACTATAAAGGATACTAAGTTTTAGGAGGTGCTATATATAACTTGACTTCTTAATTTTCCATATAGCTTTCCCTTTAAGGGATGGGATATCTTTCTTTCTGACAATGCCTGGACAAAAGCCAACACGTTTCCCTGAGCAATACAGGAAAACAATCAGGTTTCTCTAATCAGTTCATTCAGGCCTTCAGTCTATCAAGCACATTTTTTTTTTAATTGCTATTATTATTGTTGTTATTATTATTGAATTCATGCATTAATTAATTCAAGTTACACCTTAATCAAATAGGCCATAATGTTGAATATTTGAACATGCTTTGATCTCCAAAAGTTATTGTTCCCATTTGACTAACATATGCACTTAAATACAGTACTTTAAATTACTAGTCAACGATTTAATAAATTAAGGAGTGCACTTCTGGTGAATGCAAATCAAAAAGAAAAAGAAAAAAAAAAACAAAGGAAAGAAAAAGAGAGATAAAGGACCTATTTTTAGAAGATTCAGTTCAAACGAAAGCTTATCTGCTATTGTCTGAGGTAATCTTTCAAGCATGCTATTATAAAATAAATAGTATCAAATTCAAACATGCTTCTATTAAACTCCATTGTGCTATCTTGCAACAGAGGGCTTGAAGTTTTTTATCCAGTTCTGGACAGGGTAAAGGAAAAGTATGTTTAAATCATCTGCACGTAAGAGAACTTAGCAGCATTGCAGATGTTTTGTCTTCAGTTTTGTTCATTATTTTCCTTTTAGAATAGTTCTTCTATGGAGAGCAAAAGAGATCAGGCTTAAGTATGTTTGTAATAAGGTATACTGGAATAATGTAATCTTTCACACAGGGGGCAGAAGGAAGATTTGCGCTCCTTCATAAAAACCATGGCAAATGCTTGCTGCAGGTTTTGCTAATCTGTTTTCATTATCTGATGCACTTTCTTGCAACTGTGCAGTTTTGCAGAATAATTTTACTGGAATCCATGCATATGCTTTATAGGTCTAAAAACTGTCTTGCTTAGTTTAAGTTAACTGTATCAAACTAAAAAATAAAAGGAGGTGGGAGAGGAAAGGTTTAGGTCTAGCATCATACAGCTTAAAACTAAACTAGTTCAAATGGTTATCATTTACCAGATGGAAAATGTTTTTTAAAAATAAATAAAATCTTATCTTTCATGGGTCCTGGAAGCTTCTTTATCACTGAGCAAAAATTAGCAATGCAACAATGCATTTACGAGGTAAATAAAGCATTCAAAGACTATCAGTAAAGCATCTACAAAGTGTGACTGTGTCACTAAAGTCTTCAAGCTGTGAATGGGGATTTGGTTGGGCTTTTTTTCTTTACACATCAGTCAGCAGCTTGCTTTTATTAACGCAGTTTTGGTTGGCTACAGTGCAGTTGCCAGTTCTGAGATTAGCCTCTCTAAAATTGTCTATGCTATTATTCATATCCTCTTCGATTTCCATGTACTCAGATTTGCTGATTGTGGAGGAGCTGCGGCGACTGAGATCACTGTCAGATGCTAAATTAGGGGAGCTAACGTGAAGTAACTGAGCCTGTTCTTCCCCTTCTGTTTCTCGGTGGTAGAAGTAGTTGAAGTTGGACACGATGACAGGTACGGGCAGGGCAATTGTCAGCACACCAGCGATGGCACACAAGGAGCCTACGATTTTGCCTCCAATTGTCACAGGGTACATGTCACCATAGCCCACAGTGGTCATGGATACCACCGCCCACCAGAAAGCATCAGGGATGCTGGAGAAATGAGACTCAGGTTCTTCAGCCTCAGCAAAATATACCGCACTAGAGAACAAAATCACCCCAATGAAGAGGAAGAAGATCAGTAAACCTAGCTCTCTCATACTTGCTTTGAGGGTTTGTCCCAAAATCTGGAGACCCTTAGAGTGCCGGGAGAGTTTGAGGATTCGAAAGACTCTTACCAGTCTGATGACTCTCAGGATGGCCAAAGAGGTGGCCTGCTCTCCTTTCTGAGTCCCCTCCTGCTCGGCCATCTCGGTGCCCAGGGTGATGAAGTAAGGAATGATGGCCACAATGTCAATGAAGTTCATTATATTCTTGAAGAATTCAGTTTTGCTGGGGCAAGCAAAGAAGCGCACCACCAGCTCAAAGGAGAACCAGATGATGCACAGGGTCTCCACAACAAAGAAGGGATCTGTGAAGATGTTGGATTTGTAGACCTGGGTGGTGTTGTCAGTGCGATGCACTGTGTATTCCTTGTCTTCCTTCAGCTCAGGTAATGTCTCTAGGCAGAAGATCACGATGGAGATGAGGATCACCATGACAGAGACTATTGCAATGACCCTTGCCGGCCCAGAGCTTTCTGGGTATTCAAAGAGGAGCCATACTTGGCGCTGGTACTCCCCCTCCGGCAAGGGTCTCTCCTCATCTTTGATGAATCCTTCATCTTCCCTGAACTTCTCCATGGCCTCCTCACCCAGCTCATAAAATTTGATCTCCTCAGAGAACATGTCCAAGGGCACATTGACTGGCCGGCGGAGCCGCCCCCCAGACTGATAGTAGTAGAGGATGGCATCAAAGCTGGGCCTATTCCGGTCAAAGAAGTACTCATTGCGCAAGGGGTCAAAATACCGCATGCGCTTCTTGGGGTTGCCCAGCAGAGTGTTGGGGAACTGGGCTAAGGTCTTCAGCTGCGTCTCAAAGCGTAGTCCAGCAATGTTTATCACTACGCGTTCACAGCACTCATGGTCATCATGGGCAGCAGGCTGGTAGCTATCCTGGGGGTGGCCAGGTAGTGCAGAAGTCTCATCCATGTTCTCTCCAGCCATCACGGTCATGGTGGCACACGGGTAGGGGGGACCCAGAGGCAGGCAAGGAGAAGGGAGGGAAGAGGGACTAGAGATGGGGGAGGAGGGGGGAGGAGAGCAGACAGTCCCCCAGGGCAGTCCAGGGGAGGGGATGGGGGAAGGCTCAGAGTCTGCAGGGAGGAATGATGAGTCGGGAGGAAGAGCTTAAGAAATGGATGAGGCGCCTAAAGAATGGAAATAGCCAAAATGGGAAAGGAGAGGTGGGATGAAGGGAGAGGCATCAGGGATGATCGGAGAGTGAAGAAAGAGGGAAGAAGTACCTTTAGGGGGGGAAGAGGGCAGGTAAGGTGAGGGGTCCTGTCCCCCAAGCCAGGAGGCTGATGGTCTATGGAGTGCACCCCCAGGCTGAGGTCCCCTCCCCAGCCGTCTCCTTTTGCCTTTAACTCGATCCGTCCACTTTTCTCGCTGACTGGACCATCTCTGCAGCTGCTGTCACGAAGTTACCACACACACACACGCACATACACATACACACAAATAAATAAATAAGTAAATAAATAAGTAAATAAATAAATAAGTAAATCACGGAGCTGCTGGGAGGTGAGTCCTTGCAATGCCAACTCAGCAAATTTCCATCGCCTGCCCCCCCACACTGCCCCGGTCCTCTCCTCTTATGCGCTGGAAATGGAGTGATGGAGATACTCTGCTTTTGGAGGCATAAAGCTCATTTGCAGGATGGAGGCTGCCAGGGAGGAGAGAAACATAATAAACCATCCCCCAAACCCCACCACACACACACACTCAGGCACAATGGATTGGCTTTCACACCAGCAAAAGCATCCCGCTCTGCCCACTACGGCAGCACATGCGGAGCCCCTACGCGTTCCCACACTTCCCCAGACATGGACCAGGGCCTCCAAGGCAGGAAAGGTACGATGTGGACCCTGTGGTGCCCTGAGCACATCAGGAGCGCTTCCCAGGCAACTTCAGTGGGGTCGGCTTCTGCAGTAAGTCTCCTGACCGCCACACTCCCCACTTCGCAGACAGTGGAGACTTAGCTGAGCACTGACAACTTCATCACACCAATTGGGGGAATAAGGGAAGGGTGAGCAAAGCATCTCCTCTCTTGCTTTGCAACAGCTAAACACAATTGAGAGAGAGACGAGGGGAGGGAGATCAACATCGCACACCCAAACTGTCCAAAATAAGAGACCAACAGCGAGAAGGGGAGAAAGGGCTTTTTCCTTACCTGCTCCGAGTGCGATGCGCTGGTTAGGAGTAGAAGCCAGTGCCGGAATGCGTCAAGTCGCCTTGCAGCAGCATCCAAAAATCCCAAACCAAAGCAAAAACCTCAACGGCAAACTCAACCCTCCTTCTCTTCTTGTGCCCCTCTTAATAATACAGCGATCGCTTTACAGGGCTGCCTGCGAGACACTGAAATATTCATACACTGTCTTAGGCTGCACCAAGGACGAGTGGGTTTAATTAGTTTTCTGCCGAGAACCGCAGTGGGGGGTGGGGGGGCTGGTTTAAAAGAGTGCAAAGTACCTTTGTCAAAAGGCTTGAGTTAGTAAATAAAAATCAAGGAGTCCTAGATAGCTGCTGTGTCTTCTGCTCTCTTCCCTTAAGATAGCTGGAAGAGGAGCCGGGCGCTGGGCAGCGGCGGCTGGAGAGATGTGAGAGAG